AACTAAGCTGGAAAGCTTCAATTTACTACATATTCATGGATTTAACATTTAATAACTTTTCAATTATGCTACCGTTAAAGTATACAAGGTCATGTATAATTCATACAATATTATCCCTTAATGATGTTCCTATTATTATTATTATTATTATTATTATTATTATTATTATTATTATTATTATTATTATTATTATTATTATTAATTTATATATAATCGTTACTTCACTACCATGAACATTCATTTTAGCATTGACTGTTTGAGTAATTACCTTTGCAACTTTGTATTCTTCGGTATCTTTATCTATCTATCTATCTATCTATCTATCTATCTATCTATCTATCTATCTATCTATCTATCTATCTATCTATCTATCTATCTATCTATCTATCTATCTATCTATCTATCTATCTATCTATCTATCTATCTATCTATCTATCTATCACAAAGAATAAAGCAACATTGAATAGCTTTAACAGTTTGAGATACGTATAAAAATATATTTTTATATGATATTGGTGGTTATATTTGTATTTTAGGTACGCAACTACTACATCATTGGGTACGAAACGACCAGCACCGTGGTTTCCAAACAACAATATATTTGGGTATGAAACGACTCATTTGGGTACGAAACGACTCATTTTGGTATGAAACTACTTATATGTGTACGAAGCGACTCATTTGGGTATGAAACTACTCATTTGGGTAATAAACGACTTGGGTGCATAATAACCAGATACCTGTTTTATTTACAGTCAAGCCTGTTAAAGAAATGTTGGATAACTTATGACAAGAACTTCAGTGTGAATTCATCTTTGAACGTATCATAGACTAACATATAATTTTTTATGATCTACATATAGTGGAAAACTGTACTGAGGAACAAATATAGAGACTATATTTGACCCCGGAATCAGCCTCGTTTAGATTTGTTTCTACAGAAAATTTTGCCTTAAACTTTAGCGATGGAAAATAAAATGTTAACATTAATACTACTGAGTTGACGGATCAAGAAGTTCAAAAGTTCTATATTTTACATTCTTGTTGCGAATTCCTCGAAAAATTATATAAACTAAGAGCATGCGTTTTTGTTAAACAGCGGCTAAAATTATCTTATTGTGACTAGCAGTTCGAGAGAAGTGAGAGCGCCACCTGGACAGAAGTTTGCGATGCACTTTGATAAAATGTGCATAGTATATATGACGTCATGATGTAATAGTCATATCAGTTCCACCTGCGCATTAAGAACTTATTTTACAAAAGCTGTTTATTTTCATATTTTCGAAAAACGATTTAGTTATTTTTATGTGGTAAATAAAAACGGGCTAGATTCCGCAAGCTTGTGAATTTACACAGTAATAATCTGGTAACGTCTTTAAAACCATTTTGGGCATCGCTAATTAAAAAAAAAATTATTTATTTTTTTTCCTTGCACGAATTTATAAAACATTTTAATTAAAACACGAGACGTAGTCTAGAAGGTTCTTAAATCTGACGCGAGGTGTTCCTTCAATGGCGAAAATTATGAAAACCAAAAGCTGTAAAAAAGCGAAACAAATACTTTTAATTAAAACACAAGAATTAATAGATAACATAGCCTTCCGATACCTGCATCAATTGAATCCAAGAACCGTTAAAAATATTCTTTAGGAAAGTCATTACGATTAGTTTCTTTCGCTGTCTTGTCAGAACTTTGCTAGGGTCTTGAAAGTCACAGAAAGTGAAACATCCACTAATTTTACAGCTGTTCGACGGAAGAAAAATAATTAAATACGGTACCTACAGAAAAGCAGACCTGCAGACTAAACTCTGGGTATTTCTAATCCTGAAAACTAGCATAAACCGTTTCCTCGCCCACTGCTATTCTCTCACTCGTCTCATCGTAGGAATTTCAAAACCAGTCTTGTCAATCAAGCTACCATTTTCAGGTAGAAAATAGATATTAAAATAAAAATTCTAATCATCTTAACTATGCCTTATCGACTATACATGCAATGCCATATGAATTAACGCTTTTGTTGGCTTCTTTGGGAGCTGTTACGTGTGCAACACACATTGTGCGTTTGAAAGGCAGCCACTGCCGGACGTCAGAATAAATAAAATCGTCGAATCAGCACAAAAACACGAGATGACCAGGAAGATAGTGGGATGCATTTTGTCTCTTCTCTGATTCTTGAGTAGCCATTTTGACGATCTTGTTTATGCGTAACCTGCTTTAATCTTGATACAACCGAAGCAGTCCAACTGTAAACTGCACAAAGACACAGATCTGACGGCACATTATTAGGACCAATTAGCATGGTAGCAACGGGGCTTCATGCCGCAGACATGTAACATGATGTTCTACCCAGTCACATTATTCTGATTCCATGCTCTAACTAAAATAAGTAACAGAAAACAGACTCTATGCTCTAAAAAAAAGTAACAGAAAAGATTACAGAACACAAGCTTTGTAAACTTTAACAAATAATTTATTTCCATATAATACAAAGTAAAAAATGGGAAAAAGAACTTACAGTATTGTGAATTAAATCCAAAAAATAATCAAGAATTAAAGACACAAGTCCTAGTAATAAAACGTCCTGAATAAAATTCAGTTCAAGTCCCAAAGAGATCCAAAATTTAAGGCGATGACGTGTCTGTCATGGCCTGCGAAGTACTGATGTGTCAACAGGCTCTTGTCGAATCACACACGTTATTCTAAGTTTTAATTCCAGTGTTTGTCTTTATCCAAGAACTTTATCACAACACTTTTATATTTCCAGAGAAATAATCACGTGAGTTCAATAATTTGAAGAAAAAGAAATAAAATTAAGCCCATACATACATATAACATAATACAACATAAAGTGCCAGATATTAAAGCACGACTGGTAAAATACCCCCAGTCATAAGATGATATAATTCTCTCATTCACCTCAGGTCACAATTAACATTTTCAAAAATCAACCATTACCTAACGGAAAATAACTTTCTAGAATGATCTAATGAGCGTCGTATATTTACAACACAGTAGCCTACAAAACTCACTTAGGAATCTCCAAAACCCTGACCATCATCAGTATATTTAAGGCCAACTTGTTTACCTGAATAATGATAATAAGCCCATACCCATAGAGAATAATGAAGCTATTATTAGTTGTTTACACGAATCAAATAAAATAAGTCAATCAGGTCAAGAAGAAATCAACTCAGTTTTGGACAAGTTCAAGTCCAGCAAACAATGTTATATTACAATAACATGTAATGAAATAAAAAGAAAATAAACTAACAAACAATTAAAATAAATATAAATAACAAGTAGAACAAATAAATAAGCCCTGATCTGCAGGTGCCTTATGCTACCGATGACCTGAATCTTTGTTGTTTGCAGTTTGACTCGACCAGGGCATACGGAGGGGGGGGGGCGGGAATATATCCTTGGGGCCAGGACAATTAAGTGGGCCCGGTCAGAACAACACCTTTTAATTTTATAAAAGAAAAAAATTTGTTTTAGCAAGAACTAGGAGAAGCCCGAATATTTCTTACCTCAGGGACTGTGATCGCTCTATACAGCCCTGGACTCGACTTATAAGCGAGTATATAAGGTAGTGAAGAGGGGTATCCATCATGTTTGGCCGTAGTTTGTGAACTGAAAACAACATGGTGGATATGAGATACGGTATCTTTGTTTCTATTCAAGCCGTTTCGGAAGTAAACGAAGATCATATTTCTGTTTCACTTATTCTTAAGTTCTAATCAATGAGCCTGAACGTCAAAACATTCCATACCGCACTATCCCAGATAGGAACGTTTTGAAGATGGCAATTGTTAAAGCAGATACTATAGGTAAATTTTCATTATTATGAATATTTATACATTTGGGGGGGATGAGTCTTATGCATTTCAGACCGCACTGATCTCAGAGACAGTGAGAATACCGACGTCAACCAACTTGGCAATAATTTCAAAACCGTAGATTGTTCATACAGGTGTACAACTTGAAATCTCTCTCTCGCCGGGATATTTTGTCAAGGGCACAGCACAAATAATGTAATGTTTTATGTGGATTTTTCTTGTCTCAAAAGTTTTATTTTATTAACTAATGTCAAAGCAGGAGAATTCTTGATTGAGATTAGGTTTTTCATAATATAATTCCACCATAACATCCAGTCACCGTTATGTAAGACATCATCAGACATGATATTCATTTATGCGCAACATATTTTAATAATAATAATAATAATAATAATAATAATAATAATAATAATAATAATAATAATAATAATGATAATAATAATAATAATAATGATGATGATAATAATAATAATAATAATAATAATAATAATAATAATAATAATAATAATAATAATAATAATGATGATGATGATGATGATAATAATAATAATAATAATAATAATAATGATGATGATGATGATGATGATGATGATGATGATGATGATGATGATAATAATAATAATAATAATAATAATAATAATAATAATAATAACGATAATGATAATGATGATGATAATAATAATAATAATAATAATAATAATAATAATAATAATGATAATAATAATAATAATGATGATAATAATAATGATGATGATGATGATATTATTAATAATAATAATAATAATAATAATAATAATAATAATAATAATAATAATAATAATAATAATAATAATAATAATAATAACAAAAATATCGTGAAGGATATTGTTACATATGCTTTTGCTTATACTCGGTTATTAATTAAACATTGTGTGTGTGATTTTGATTTTAAACGTAGCTCTAACAATTTTTCAGTCATATTATTACGATATCAGCAGGCATGCAGTTCACAATGATGTCTAGCACTGGGGCATCATGCCGGAGACATGTAGAATGATGTCCTACCCAGTCACATTATTCTGACATACAGCGGACCAGTCCTAACTCAAACCTCTTAATAATGAGCGATAAGCAAAGTATCTGTTAGAACCATTTTTATAAGTCTTTGGTATAAGTCTTTGGCATAGCTAGGCTGTGGCTCGAACCCTTGACCTTCTGCATCAGAGGCGGACGCTCTAACCACTAGGCCACCTAGGTCGCTACTAGAATAGAATTACCAAAAATGATTTACAAATACAATTATTATTTCCGTGCACACAAAGATATGACAAATTTAAAAAAAAAATCGATTAAACTTTCGAATTTAATTGTCAGCATGCCTGCATACCCTGAATACTGGTAGTATGATGGAATCGAATTATTCCCTCTTGTCTCCTATTCTACTTAAAATGATCTCTCTTTCTCTCCAGCCTCTGACGTCCTCAGTCTTCCCTACGTACCATAAAGCTATATCCTTTTAAAATAAAATACACGCAACCTAAATATTGTAGTTACGATAATGATAGTCATATCGCAGTTCAAAACATATACTAACTGCTAATATGGTTTCAGGTCCCAATCTTGCATTCCATACCTAAGAATTCTAGCCTAGTTCTTTCCATAAACAAATTAACATAGGACAGGAAGATTGATGTATTTCCACAACATAAGTAGTAATCATCACTGATTGATTTATAGCATAGTCTGTTATCAGCTGATAAACAATTAACCCTTTGCCGTTTGAGCTATGAATCACAAACTTGACAAAATGTCGGGCCTTTACCTTAAATAGTCATATTGTTTTCATTGTTGCTCCAATGCTAATACAAAAGATTCTAGGGTAAATGAATTCAAATCTTAGTTACACCAAATGATCCAACAAAATTCACTTTTCGTCTTGACTTGGTTGTTTGCTAATTAATAATACATCTTCATACACATCTACAAACATAATTTATACTCACTTATCGGCATACATGATCATATAAAAGTATGACAAAGTGAAACAATTATCTTAAGACTCATATCAAAGAAATATTGTGAATGAAATTAGGAAAAAAAATCAAAAAATTATCTACGGACTCATATGAAAGAAACATTGTATCAGTTGGAAGCGACTCTACCTTGTTATTTCGAGATTCAATTGCTTCACACTTAGCATTGTGTCGCCTCTTTACCTTTTGGATCCATGTCTCAATGACTTCCAAATATCCATACCTTGGGCAATTTTACGAGAGAAAACTTCCTACTCCCTCAAAATCAAGATCCTTTTCTCTTTTTGCAAAATCGTCGACTGGCTATTTTTGGTGTAGGACATTTATAAAAACACGAGACATCGCGTGAAAGAAACAACCCCTGTTGTAACGTGTCCAATTAGAATTTAGATTAACTAACCGTCTTTATTAACACACCCATCAAGGATTTAAAAATTCCACATTTTCCCGCTTTCCTTAATAAACTAATCACTGCGAAGTTTCAACTTGTGAAAATTACATCAGCAAATACAAACGTTGTTTCTGCATCATTTCAACCCCTAACATAAAAGTAATTCACCTCTTCTTGACCAGAGAGTTATCAGACGGAACCTTGATAAGAATAAATCTTGTCCACACCATACACATTAAAGAACCACATTCTTACACATGCCCTGGATTTAACATGGCACATATATAAACTTAAAATGGCTACGCGTCCCACACAATGACTTATGCAAAGTCCACTCCGTTACGTGTTAAAATGACCTCTAAAATTTACACTATATTCAAAAAGGTACTTGTATCGTCTTAGTTCATATTTTACTTGAACAGCTGCTTTCATTTTTAATAAATCTGAGAGTGTGTTCCATATATGAATACAAGAGTGTAGGAATAAGTTTATGTTGATTTAGAGTCTGACATTAATGCGATTAAAATTATTCATATTTATACTGTTATGCCTGTTTATCTCACTATCCAGTGGTGGTAATAGGTGGGCAATTTAAGGAGGGTCTCCTTATAAATTTTTATGAAATTAACATAGTTTATGAAAGTGTCGTCTATCTGCCAAGGTAGACAAACGATTTTCTTTTTAAAAAATCTTACAGCACGAGACAGTTCTAGCAAGCCCATTTACAATTTACCGTGATCCTTTTCTAAATTTTCACATTTTAGCGACTTGTCGGCCTAACAACCATCCACTCATCACCGTATTCTAATAATATATATATATATATATATATATATATATATATATATATATATATATATATATATATATATATATATATATATATATCCTTTCTAAACTATTTCGGCCTTATTTATATTTAAGTATTTTCAGGGCAGTTATCATTTTTTGAAAGTCGACATGAATATATTATTAATATGTTTGGTCCAGTTTCCTAGACTACTGAAAATTACGCCAAGACAATTTGGGGAACTCAACAAACGAGATCAATTTTTTTTTTTAAATTTTCGTTCAGGGAGAACTGGTTCTGTGTTATGCGAGAAAAACGCATCAGTTTTGTCCGGATAAAAGTCGAACAACTACTGCCATAACCAATTGTCAAGCCGTTGTAAATCAATATTCAGCACATAGTCTATTTCGCAAGTATCAATATATGAATACCCCAGTGATATATCATCAGTAAATAGCGTCTCTAGACTCAAGAGTTCATCGCTAATATCATTAATATATACAATGAAAATAATAATAGACCTACAAGATATCCATGTGGTACACCAGCAACATACTTTTATTTGATTCAGCACTATTTACAAAAGCTGTTTGAATTCTATTTGATATGTAGTGAAACAACCAATCAATAGAAGCTATCAATGCCATTTCGCGTTAATTATGTATTAAACCTTATGCCAAAAAGAATAACAATTTTTTAGAAGCAGTGCAAAAGATCACGTACGTGTCATCCTTGTTATCTAGTACAGTACGCATAATATGATATATATTCTTGAGCTGAATTACCGTAGAGTTGTTGGGAAGAAAACACGATTGATATTTTAAAAAATAATATCTGAGTGTAAGTGATTATAGAGATGCTTAAAATTAATTATTTTCACAGTTTTCCCAACACAACTTAATTTTCATGAGACCCAAGTTTCCATGTCAATACAAGGAATTGACGTGTCCGTAATGTAGTGAATTGACGTGTCGGTATATAATGCATTGGCGTGTCCGTAATATGATAAACTGGCGTGTCCACAGGGTAAAATATTTACTTAATCAACCCCAAAAAGACTGTCATCATAAATATAGTGATAATTTCTTCATTTTGATGCTATAGATAACGTGATTGTACGATCTTACCTCATTCATCGCCTAAAAGTGATGAAATAAACAAGATGTATATCTGGAACTTCAAACTCTTTTCTATCAAACATTTTTTTTAATTGCTTCTGAAACTTTTTTATATTTATCCGTCACGAATGAATCGAATTTCAGTCTTAACCGGAGCTAGCGTTTCAATTCATTGGTACTTAAAAACGCCAGATATCATTTAAGCGCTGGTGGTAAACCAGTCCATTTTTCTTTTAGATAGTAACTTGCGTTGCAATATTTTATATTCCCTTTCATATAGCTGTAAGTGGTCTGTCTGAACAGCAATATAAAATTAATATTAGTCATGAATACTCCATCTCTATCACCGTATATTTTTTGCTTTATTGTTTTTTATTCTTGGGTTTTATTGGGGTGCGGACCAACTATTTGGGACATAATTTATACAGAAACCATATGAACATATCAAACTCAGAGAAACTCTGGTTAGTTTGATTTTCTTGTTTTCCAGATTGACTCACTCCAAGTTTCGTCAATATTTATTTCATGGTAAATGATATATCTGTTTGGAATTTTGAGGAAAAAAAAAATTTCATTCTTTTCGTAGTTTCTATCTGTTACGGAAGTTATTGTTATTCTGAGAGTGTAGCCCTTAAAATGATCAGGGAGATGTAATGGAAACAGCAAATCCTCTTTTAGAATGAGCTGCGACATCTCAGTTGGTAGACCATAAAACGCACAATCCAAAAGTAGCGGGTTCGATATCAATCTAGGCCAGTTCAGGTAAGATGCCTCGGTGTGCCTTTAGAAATTCACTTATATCCCATTCTCGCGGTGTTACATAGCCAAAAGTGCCGTTCAAGCCAGCAAACATAAAAATATTTCTAATATGCATCAGTACCACCAATATCAGGTATTTAAAACATTTTGTTCTTCTATTCATCTAATTTGTTCTTTATCTGTCCTGCTCATCACTCCCAAATAGATGATAATTTTGCGTCATAGGCATCTCTGTTAATTTTAATTGTGTTTTCGTCATCTGCGATACTTCGAACTTGATTTCAGAGTGCCAGTACTGCATCAGACTAAATGGGTTCGAGTCTCTGGCTCGGCCATTGTATGTATATGTGAGAACACTTGCCGGTAGCTTTCTATATGTTGGTGCCTTGTATGGGAGTTTTCCCAATGATTTCCTGTAGTAGTTATACTGGCCGCAATGTATGTGTGCTGAACAACGGCGTTAAACCCACAAAACAACAACATTTATTCTTTTAAAGTCATTTTCAATTTTCACCTAACATCTATTGAATAGATTACTGTATATATCCAAATTGTATTTTGATTTTTAATCTACATGATCTCTTGGTGTATTTGCTGATTTTCCCCCACGTGTTATTCACACTTTAATATTAATTTCTTCATCCCTTCCTATGGCATTTATATTTATATTGCTGTACCTTGAACAATTTCATGTTGTAAAAACAGCTTGTCAATTGGTGGTGGGATAAAAAAATCTCTATATACTTCATGCTTGTTTCAAATTAATTTCTTAACTGTAAAAACCCATCATCTAAGATGAATTTCAGAATGATCATCCGCTTCCTAACATTGTTCCAGTAACTATATTTTATCTCTATTTGTAAAGAGTTTGCATTGAAATCTGTTTTCAAAAATGTTTCTTGCATTCGGTGTATGTCTGAATTTTGACTTCGCAGTTGTATTCATTTGTAGATTGTGGTTTCATATTATCGTTATTATCTGAATTCTAACACGAATTTGATTGCTTCGAAAGATAGAGTCCATTGTATTTTGGTGATAGTCAGTTTTAAAGTCATAAATATGAGAAATACCTCTCTCTCTCTCTCTCTCTCTCTCTCTCTCTCTCTCTCTCTCTCTCTCTCTCTCTCTCTCTCTCTCTCTCTCTCTCTCTCTCTCTCTCTCTCATG